TACTGCTACTCCTTGACTCGTTCTTACTGCTGTCTTTCAGCCACACCCCTGATCTTCTGGTAGGAAAGATCTACACCTAGCCTTCTCGGACAAGGGCGAAAAATCTCGGAGGTCTCTTGTGCAAAGTGCGCACGTTAAAGATCCCTTGGTAGTCCAAAATCGATGAGAGTAGGCTTCGGCGCCACCGGGGCAAAATTCAAAATTTCCTACCAACTGAAAATGTTTAAGTTCCGCGCGCTCGTAGGACCTTATGCAGTTGCGAACGCCGTAAAACACTTACCCCCCTGCCCAAAAAAAGAAAAGAAAAGAAAAGAAAGTACACACGGCAATGTGTTTCTTGATCTGACCCAGATTTATATGTGAGGCAGCGTGGTGGAATCATGCTCTCGTCAAAATAATCAAATTGAAGAAACTTGCACCTTTCCTTAGGTTTGTGAAATTTTTTCAAACTTTTGTTTTTTGGCTCATCACCTTTCATGCCCATTAAAAAACTCATTTCTGTGTGGATTTTTCTGAAAAGCTTTGATCAAAAGCATAAAAAATGTAAATTTTCAGTTACAACGGACTCTTAAGCTAAGGAAATAACTTATCTTTGGCGGCCATTTTCTCCCTAATTCTACCTCTGAAAACTAGTGACCCCCTTCTCCTTCATTGGCAAACATCTCGACTTGTATTTAAGATAAACAGATATTTTTTTCATCCAAATAAAGGCAAGTGAACAAGGTTTAGGATGATACCAATAACTCTACAAGCCCAAAAATTGACGAGAGCCTGATTCCACCGCGCTGCCTCACTTATCTATTGCAAAAGTCGTAACCTAAAATAATGATTCCTAAAGATCCAGTGTTTCAAACTGAGCTCACGATTCACCTAGGAAAATGAATACTCTAAGTCAATTGAAATTACAAAAAAATAATAATCGACAAAGATTATTAATTGCCTACCTACCTTAATGTCTTCACGTCTGCATGTTGATTTGCCTGTCACCAACTGTCTTTCTCTCTCTCTCTCTCTCTCT